AATACAAACAAAAAGTGAAAACAAAAACTTGCTCTTTACAGATTTTTTATTGGCATTTTAAAAAAACTTACAAGGTTGCTCCAGAAATTTCATTTTTCTGGTACTCATTAGAATTTTTTATATAACTAATAAGCTTATCTGAAGCTCATACATCTTTCTAAACTTTTCTAACTAGTCTAGAAACTTCTAAATTAAACAAATTTTTCTGTAAAATATACTTAAGAATCTATTTTTAGAACACAATACTAATCTAGACAATAGTTGCATCTGATACTATTGATCTGAATTATTTTTATCAAAAGTATCCTAAAAGCTTTAGTATTGGTATCTTTAAAGATGCAGCTAATACATCATGCCCATTCTTGCAAACAAGCAACTAAACAATTGCTCATTTACAGAACTTAGAGGAAAAACTAAAAGTTGTTATTACTTTAAAGCATCTAAATCTAGTTCTATTATTACATATTTTTATACAAGTTCTACATCTACTTTATCTTAACTACCAACCAAATCTACAAACAACATGAAGTCATTCTTATTAATAAAAAATCCAAATATAAAAAATTATTAGCAAATAATATTGCAAATTCTACTAAATTTATTCTATCATCACCTATAGCATTACTTTTACTTACCACATACAACTACCAATATGCTAAATGCAACTTACCTATTGCTTGCAAAGAAATAAACAACTAACATTATCTAACAGCAGATGCAATTTTATATAATAACAAACCTTATTACAAAACATGTGCAAATATTCAACAACCTACTCAACAATCAAGTTTTTCTTTTATATTTATTCAAAAACTCCAAAAAACAATTAGTTTCTATAACTTACTAGTATCTGAACTTACTTTTACAACATCACCTGCAAGTCATACTAGCAATTTAAATACTATAGACTTGGACAACAATACAATTAACAATGATAACTAACAATCACTATACTCTAACAAACAATTATAACAACAACAATCAAATAAACAACAACAACAACTAGATAAATAACAATAACAGCAATAAACACAACTTAATACTAACAACAACTAACAAAAACCCAAAGCCAATCCAACATTTGACTAGCTTGCTAACTTCTCTGTAACTGAAAAAATGAAAAATAAATCACAATTGCAAACAGATTTTACAAAAAAAATCTTTAATTTTTTTAAACATCTATTTAACTTCAAATCTGAAACTAAAATTAAACCTAAAATTGATGATCAACTAGCTCTTAAAGCTAACTTCTACTATATAATTTAAAAATGGCAAGAGAAAGACCAAAAGTTCTAATGTAACCAACAATTAAAAATGCAGTTATATAATCTTTTAACTGTCACATGCTATCAAGATGTTAAAATGATTTTTATATAATATCAATTTTTATTTGTCAAAAAAAAAGCAGAATTGAAATATTTAAATATTATAAAACAATTTAATTTTGTATACATTATTAACTTAATACATGTTAGAAGAAATTTTTACTGGTATAAAATAAATTTTATATTTGCAAAATACAATAATCTGATACACAATTATGTTAAATAAATATTAAGTTTTATCTAAAGTATTGAGTATTTTCATTACTGTTTTTTCATGTTTGTAAAAGCATATGCCTATTTTCATGCTATAAAATATCTTTAACTAATTTCTTAAGTAGGATTATTTTGGATTTTATATTTTTAAACAATCTTTAATAATTATAAAAAGCTTTTGATTCTTTAAGAATGCATTGTGCCTAAGTATAAATAGTGTTAAATAAATTTAAATTTTATATATAAAAAAAAGTTACTTTATTTAGAACTTGATACAATCACATTTGTTTTTGTTCAATTTTATTTATAAAGTTGTTACTTGTTTTATGAATTCTTTGCCTTATATTTATAGAAAATTTATTATTATTAATATCAATATCATTAGTATTATTAATGTTAACATTAATAGAATTATTATTGATTAGATTATTATCAAGCTTTTTTCAATTGTATGCTAAACATATGTTTTGCCAAGGGTTGCATAATGATAATATTGAAATTAATGGATATTTTGAATTGCAACAAATCTAATTAATGTTAATATTTGTTAGTATATATGTATATAATTAGTTTAAAGCAGGTTTTAAAAATATAGTTTATATAAAATAACACATACTTAATGAAAAAATGATTTTGGTTTTGAACTAATTAAAAAAACTAAATGTTTACATAGATAAATCAGTTTGTTGCAAATTATGGGCAGGAGCAAATTTAGTATTTATAATTTGTTAAATAGTTGTCAAAACTGCATAATCATAAAGCTAATAAGTTTTATTCTTTCTGAAATTCTTTTTTCTAAGAAGTAAGTTGATGCTTATAATATAATAATTTGAATGTATTGAATTGTCATGCAATAACCTATATAGATAAATAAATAAAATAAATAAATAAAAATTAAAAATAAAAATAAAAATTAAGTAAAAAAAATATGTATATATTGTACCTCAGATCGATACTTGTGTTAGATTAAAACTATTAGGCTAGCATTAAAATAATCTGCAAAAATTGGCCTAGCTAAATCCTAATACTTACTTTAACTCTAACTCTAATTTAAATTGGTTTTAATCTGATACAAGTTTTAATCTGAGGCATGATATATTTATATCTTTCTTATAATTATAAAACACAAAATGTTCAGACAAGAGCAGTTAAATTTATAAAGGTAATCTTTTTTTAAAAGTCTTTAATAAGACTTAATTACTATAACTATTGGCAGAATCTTAATTTCTTCGAATGAAAATCATGCCTAAAGAATCCATTGTCTTGAGATATATCATTCATATCAAAAGTATGCTTATATCATAATTAGGTTATTATTATAACAATACTAATATATTCCAGTAATGCATTTAATTTAAATTTCTTGTTGATTTACAAATGTTTTATTCTCTTTTGAAATCAGCATATAATGATTACAATGCTTTGTCATAAGGTTTGTTATATGTATGCAAATTTCTTTTTTTGCAAGTTGGTAACCTGGTTTTAATCTATCTGTATTTTCTTAATATATTTTATTAAATACTGATAGAGTTGGTTGCTATAAGAGATTAATAATTGTACATTGTTATGTGCTTTAATTGCACTATACTGTATAACTTGAACTTTGGTTTGTGTTAATAATTTTTGCTTCATTATGTAATTTACATGCCACAAACATAATTGCACCTTTATATTATTTCATATAGTCTTGGTTGTATTTATTTGTGATAGGTCCTTATTGGTATAAAAAATTTGCATATTTGCTAATTGTCATGTTTTTAATGCTACAAACTATTCTGCAATAATACTGGTAATGTCATAGTTTTTACCTAGTAATATAAATAAATAGGAAATAAAAAAATCCATACTATCCATGATTGCCATTGCTCTATATAACTCATATTTTAGCCTATTGTATGTAGTATCTATTATTAATTTCATTAATAAATTTAATAGTAGTATATTAAAGAAAATTGTTGTAAAAGCAAAATTGTAGTTCTCAAAAAAAAAAAATCTTTTGTTTGTGTTTTGAAGAAAAATTTTTGCAAAAATAAATTTATTATTAGAATATTGATACTAAGCTTGTACAATTGATAACTACTAATAATAAACTTGTTATATTATTAAATGTTTATGTTTATTTATTTGGTTGTCTTTAATTGATTGATAAATAGTTAGGATGCTTTGTCTAATACAAGAATTTATATAATTTTTGATTTTTCAGTTACACTAATTTTTTCTAATTGTGGATGTAAAATTTTGTGATATATATTAACTTTTATAATGTTTCTCAAATAAATTTTAATCATAATCAGGCTTTCACATTTATAATGTTCAATAATTATCTCTACATTATATTGTTTTGAAATATTTTTAACCTTCTTTTGATGTTTGCATAATTCCTTTTGAGCATTGCACCAGTAGGTTAATGTATATAAACTCAGAATTCTTGCTGCTGTACATTTTTTGTAATATATAAATGTACCTATCTTCACTACTAATTGTATTGATTATTAAATTGGTAATTTGTAGATTTTTATCTTTTATTACAACTTCAATTGACAGATTTTTATAAATAGAATCCAAATCAACATTAAATTGAAGCTAAAATTGAGATTTTCTCTCAAGATTATCATTTAGTAAAAAAATAATATAATAGTATAGTTTTGTTAATTATATTAAAGCTTTAATAATATTATTAAAAACATGTAATTTTTTTATTAAAAATAGTTCTAATAAAGTTTTTATACTTGTAAATTGTTATTATAAGTTGGGTAAAAAGTTTTATTCTTTTAAGATACAACTTAGTTTACTTCAAAGTAAAAAAAAAAAAATAATATATTATACAAGTTATATTTGTTGATTGACTGTGTAGTTCAATGATTATCGATCTGTTAATATTCTGTGCTAACAATATGGTTTTTAATTAGTTGACTACACATGAGCTTTTCCAAAAAATATAGAAAATTCTCATTGCTTATATGCATAGGTTAGATGTTTTTTACTGTATTATACTATATAATACAAATTTTTATTACTTTAGAATAGTGATCCACTTCTATACAAAAAAACAACCCAACTACTTCATTACTTTACTACAACCTCTATTCAAATATTTTACTAAAAACTTTTAAAATAAAATTTTTACAACTTCTAAGTTGCTATTATAATGTGTAGAGTTGTTAATAGGTTGGTTGGGTTAAGCAACTTCTCAACCTACTCCAGCTTGGGTTGGGCGCCACTCCAGGCTTACTTAGAGCTGCTGCAGTTCACTCCAGATTTTTAATCCACTCCAACTTGGATTAGGCTCACTCCGGAGTATGCCACTCCATTAACAACCCTAATAACGTGAGTGAAGTTAAATTATGAAAAAAACTAACCAATTAATGCCTGTTGATTGGCTGCTTAGTTCGACGATTGACTGTTTGCAAAAGTGGTATCACGTGCTGATAAATCTTTTTCTTATTGGCCAACTACTTTATAATGAAGTCCACATTTTTCGAAATAAAGTTCTCGAAACATGGATCAGACGAAAAAGTCCCAAATTTTGGTACTTACTTGCCTGAACCATGTTGTGAAACCACTTTCTGCGTTCTAATAAAAATCCCTATCCTTTATGCACATATTAAAGTTGTTTTGATTACTAGAAGAAACCTTATTGGTGCATATTTGTCGATCTTACTGGATAGCCTGTAACGATAACGGTAACCTTACATACGTGCGTATCGATATACAAAAATATAATTTATGTAACCCAACCCTAGCCATAATATTTACAGACATGTATTTGGAAACAGGCCAGCATTATACAGAATTATGAAGATTTCTAATAAAAAATGTATAATGCTGGCCAATTTTCGGTTAAGTGTCAGTAAATTTCACTATTTAGAGTAATGTAGCACGAACTGGAAGATCCAAGATTTTAACCAAAATACTGTATGTACTAATCCTAATTCAGTAATGTGGTCAAACGTTAAGGAATTTTGTTACCCCAAAAATCTTGCATGTATTCATTGTATTCGACAACCAATCCTACACTTGTTGTTGTAATCTTGTTCTTTGTTATATGCGCCGATGAACATAGCCTTACTAAATAGGATAGGCGTTTTCTACTTTAGGTGATAATCAGCATTTCACTGTTTCATTGTATGCAACTCGTTATATCGATAAAAGGAACTTGATTTTTTTTAATCGAACACATTCCATCTCTCTTCATACATTCTTCTCACCTGAATTTCGTAAATTCACATTCTCTTATTACTTGACAATGGACATATTCGAACTTTCGATGATGTTCATCTTCCTGTTATCATCAGTAGTTGCAATCGAGAAACACAACGAACTAAAAAATTCTAATCATATGAATGAAGTTTTTGAAGATTTCACAGAACGCCATGTTTTTCAGATTGACAAGTTAAATGAGTATTTATGATGATCAGAAATAATTCACACTGAATCTCATTATGCAATGGCATCAGGTGGAGTGTATAAGACAAACAAACACAATCATTTAGCATTACATAAAACATTACATATACATATTTTATCAACATTGTATTATTTACATGTATTTATTGAATTCATTTTTTTATCAAACTTTATAGAAGTTGTATAATCTATAAATTATATTTCGTTTTACATGATGTATTGTTAATAGTTAGATTGTACAAAAATTCCCTGACTAATATAATTTTAAATTTTTTTTTGAATTTTTAAAATAAAGATAGTGAAGTTGTTTTGTATTAAATGTACAAAAATTATTATTAAATACGGTTCGTGTTCAAAAAATGATTTCCTATACAATAAAATTTAAATTTTAGTATATTGTAATTCTAATTTTGTTGATAAAAACTTAGTTTTTGCTAATTATACTAAATGCTTTAAATTATATGCTATTTTATTTGGTCTGAAATACGTAGCGATTATATGTTAGAAATTTTGTTTAAAAGGCGCTAAAAGTCGATCATATGAGCGGATTTATGGAATTGATTTTTTTTTAAACTTTAAGTTCAAATAACTTTTAATTTATAAAATTTAAGAAATAATTTTGTTACTGTTGTGTTCATCTCTTTAAGATGAATCAAATCCAATTTCAAGATTATTTTTTTTGGTATTAAGGTGAGGCCTTACTCATATCTTTGTTAATAATTTTAACTGTATATTTTAGTACAAAAGTGTTAAAATAAATTAAGATTGTATATAACAAAATAAAAATTATATGCAAGAATAGGAGCTTAGACTAATTTATCTGTAACCTAAACTAACCAATTATGAGATTATAAGATAATGCATAATCAAGTAAGTGATACATTTTATATGTTATACAATTAGTTAGACTTATATTTAACTAATTAATATTTAAACTATTAAAATATATTTTTTAAAAATATTTTATAATTGTTTTTAAATTTTTTTTTTATTTTTTATTTTTCCCTTAAGCAGTCATGTTAATATTTTATTAAAGATTTTGAAATTACATTTGCAATTATATAAATATTCTTAACAACTAAGTCTAGCATCACTTGGTCACCTTAATGGTACCTAAGTGCAACCTGCTGCATTACTTCAAGCAGAAGTAAGCTACTTGTCTAACTACTTAAAGTCCATAATAGAAGAGTCTTCTTCCTTCTATGACAAGTTTCAAAATTGTCTTTTGTGTTTTTGTTCTAATTTGTTCTTTTTTTTTTCTTATTTTTTCTTTCTTTTCTTCTATTTTTTGCTAATTTGTCTTTTTTTCTTTATATGATCTCACTTTTTTTTTTCTCCTCTTCTTTTTAATCTATCCATTATTCCTACTTTTTTCTCTTATTCACTGATCTTTTTATATCAGACTCTTCATACTTGTTCATAAAATGTATTTCAGGTTGTGTTTGCTATTACACTTGTAAATTACTGTCTTGACTTTGTGTTTAGAAACTGCCATAATCTATTTTGTGTTTAGAAACTGTCATAATCTATTTTGTGTTTCTTTTGAAATCAGATCTTTAATTAAAGCCTCTCTTATTCTTATTTCTTTTGTTTTAGTTTTATCAAAGAGCATTATATATAATACATATAAAAGGACTTGGATTTTTTTCTTTTTATTTAGTCCCTTCCAGACTGTTGTGATGGTTATTTTTTGTATTTTTTTCTATAAGTTTCTTTGTCTTTTGCATACTATTAAATGCATCTGTGTTTCTTTAACTTTATCTTTGCATACTTGACATTCAGTCATTGTATATATATCTGGTCTTCTTTTATTAAGTTCTTCTAGAATTGGAAGTTTGTCTATTATACATTTTATAAATACACTTCTTCTGGCACTAATTCTTTTTATTATACAATATATCTTTTTTGTCATCTTTAGTTTTTTTCAAAAAAATGTCCAATCATATATTATAATTTCTGATTCTAGTTATAATTCTTTAATTGCTCTTATTTCTCACTATTCTGTTCCTAATCTTGTATTTGTTATTAGCTTATATAACAATCTTGCTGATATGTCAGTTCATTTGTTTTCCTACTTTAAGCAGTACTTTATTTTTTTATAACTGACTTCTTTGACCTGTATTATTTCCTTACTTGTTGCTCTTTTCTTTGCCAAGCAATTAGTTTTGTCATTTTATTTATCTTTACTATAACTCTTTACTTTAACTAACTCTATCTGTATGTTTTTTGTTATAATAAGGTCTCTAATTTTCATTATCCATATTGCATTCTTTTTTTTGAGGATCTTGTTTTTATCTATTTGTTTTAAACCTCTCTTAATGTTTTTTATTGTTGCATTACTGTCTGTATATATTTCTACTTGCTTTTCTTTTGATATCATTAATATTATTACCTATATTGTTACTAACTCAGATATTGTTGATGTTTGTCATCCTTCTAAGCCTATTACTATTTTTTTTTCTGGTCATTCTTGTGTTTTGCTCATTTGGACCCATCCTATACCTATTCTATTTTTATTTACTGTATCTTCTTTGGCCTTCATGTTTGTTGTACTGTCTATATATATTATATATATATTCTTGTCTCTTGTTATATTTTTTCTTAAACTTCTATTATTTTTTGGTTGATGTACTTATCTAGTATTTGTCATTTAATGATTTTTATTTCTAACTTTTCTATTGTTCTAATTTTTTCAAGTTCTTGTTCTTCAGTTTTTAGTCGTTTCATCTTTGCTGTTTCTGTTATCTGGTTTATTGCTATATTAATTTTATTATTACTCTTTTTTATTAACACATCTGAAACTCTATTAATTTTGTTATTTATTTTGATCTACTGTTAGTAGTTATCTTTTGTACCCTCTTTTGTTCTAGTACAACTCTTACATCTTTTAATTTTAATAGCTAATTTGTCTTTCCTACTTTGCATTTGCCAATGTTCTACTAGTAATTTTTTCTTTTTCTTTTTGATTATTTTTCCCAGCTGTCTATGGTTTTATGTATCATATATTATTCATTTTTTTCTTCTCTTATCCTCTGATATACTCTTCTATTTAACTTGCATTGCTTATGTATTTTGTCTATTTGTCTTGAAGTATTGTTTGACCTCTCTACTTTCTGTTTTGCTAAGCACTTTTTGTTCTATTATTTTGAACTAGTTTTCTTTTTTTCTCTTATCCAACAGATCTTAATAATTTTTTAGTTGTTGATATATAACTAATTTTTCTTTTTTTATATTCAGCAGCTGGTTTAGGTATACTAAACCTTTTTTATTTATTTTACTTTCATATCTTTTTCATAAGTTGATATTAATGAGTTCATTTATTTTGGTATCATATCTAAACATTGTCTATAAATTTTTTTTTTTTTTTTTTTTTTTTTTTTGCTAAGGCCATACTTGTGGCAATACTTTATTGACTTTATATCGGGTTAGTTATTACAACTATTTTTACAAAGATGAGAGTATAGCTAGTCACATGTGCAACTTTTGGTTGCCTATTTAAGTAGTCTGCCCTAAGGTTCTATACTAGATGCCATACCTATAACCTACTAGAAGATTATTTATTTAAACCCTCTAATCATTTGCTCTGTTATATTGAAATTTCCAATTTACTGCCATATATACCTAACTGGTATACTATCTGAGCAATATGGTTACTTATTCTTTTTGTACTGGTTTCTAGTCTATTATATATTTTAGAATACATCACCTGCTAGTAAGATGCAGAGGGCTCCTATTGTTAACTATCTACTTACTTTTAGAACACTAATACAGGCTACCTTTACAGAGTTCATCCAGATCTCAGCACTGACTTCACAGCATATTCCTAGTACTTTTAGTATATCCTTACTTTAAACCCAAACTCCCAATCCAAATAGCCTAAAAGGATTGTAATCTGTCCTTAGTATATTGATGCTGGGCCAATATTCTTTTTCTCTGGTCCAAAATCCAGTAGTCTTGTTAGTAATACCTTTTACTTGAGGTTCTTGTCTGCTTGAATCCTTTACATTAGTATCCATTTCCTAGGTCTAGCTTTTACAGTAATATCATTAAAGATCCATATTATCTTTCTGCTCAGAATTTCTATGTAGGCTTTGGCTTCTCAGTTTTATAGATTTACATAGCCTGAAAACTTATTTTAGATTTGCATCACACAGTACCAGTTTGCATTCCTCTGTGTAACAGATTACACAGATGTTCTAGACCTGCCAGTCATGCTAGTACGATCATAGTTACAGATATTCTATTCCAACTAATCAACAGAATGTCATTGCCATAATATCATTTATATATTACATAAGTAATTATCTAAATTTTGTTATTGGTGGGTTTTGAACTTACAACCTACTACTTGGAAGTATAACAACTTATCTATTTTACTAAGTTGTTACACTCTTAAAATGAATATATTAAATTTTCATTTAATAATAATATTGTATAAACCTACAGAATATAAAATATATAAAGCAAACTTGTCTCAAAATAATAAAAGATTTATTTATGTAAATAAAAAATACAAAAAATTAGTTTCAATATTTAAAGATTTCTTCTTTTTGAAAGGATATGTGAAATACAATCTTACAATGATATTTGACTATTTTTGTCTATTAAAATGTAATTATTATTTAATTGAAAAGATAACAAACTATTTACTAAATACAATAACTAATTATATGAAATTCTATCAAGAATTAGTTATTGATACTTTAAAAGATTATGAAAACAAAATAGATAATAAAGGAATCATTATTGAAATCAATAAATCTAAATTTGAAAGAAGAAAATATCATCATGGCAAAGTTATTGATAATGTATAGATTATTAGTAGTATTAAAAGAATAAAACAAAAATGATGCTTTCTAATAAAAGTACAAAAATATAATGAAGAAATAATCAAAGATATCTAAGATAAATATGTTAAAAAAGAATCTATTGTTTATACAGTTTGTTGAAAAAGTATCTGAATATTAATAAACTAGGATTCAAACATAAAACAGTTAACCATTC